GATGCTATGCTGCTGTCTGAATTGAATCAAAATCCCACACTGATGGCTTCAGTATAAATAAAGGCCAGCTGCATCTCCTTTGTCAAAGCCAATTCCTAAACAGCAAAACATAAACATAAAGCACCTGTGGAAACAGGGCTACAGTGCATTTAGCTACTCCCCTCATGGAGGTGGTTTACCTAGAGTGCTGGGAGAGCTCTCTCCCAGCACGTCTGTCATTGCCACACTGCCATTTCAGACAAGGCCTAAGAGACAAAGAGGCCTTCCTTTATACAGCAATTTTATAATATGAACCAGAATTCATAAGAGGTACAGTCAGACTTTCCAAAATTGCCAGACTTGCTACATCCATATCTTGCAAGCTGAAAATTTTTTTGTTATAGAACCCTAACAAAACTTAATTCTCTGGGGGAAAGTGTAATTAGCTATATCCATTTACTAAAAACACCTTTGAAGTTGCAAAAATGAGTATTTCCATTTCCACTTGTGCTGCTCTCCTGTAGCAATGATTTCACAACTTTTAGTTGTCCTCCCAGATGGAATCAATGCCTCTTGTGATTGATAATCTTAATTTCAGCCTGAATTGGGGGCGGGGGAGGTAGAATTCTGAATAGGAGTGTACTGAGGCAAAACAATGTAATTTATATGCACTTTAAGACCTCCTTTTTACTGCCAGGGAGATGGAAAGATGATTTAGTGTACATGAGAATCAGGCCCTAAATATTAAATCCCACAAGTTCCGTGGATGCCCGATGAAAATAAATACAACACCAATTTGTGACAAAAACAGAGAAACATGTATGTTTACCAGTTAATGTGAATGACAAAAAGTGAATAAATAAAATGTATAATTTATGCATTTTATGTTCTCATAAATCATTTGCCTGTCAACATTTCCATAATTTATTAATTTATGAATCTTTTAAGCATAATAATGGAAATTGGCTGACATAAATCACTAAAGGTTTCAGTGAGAATATTTGTGTTTATATTAGGGATATGTGAGCAGTTTGCATAGACTGCAGAACCCATTGGAAATCAAGAGGTGGATTGGGGTTCATTTCTATTAGCAAAGCGCCATGATTCCCAACTCTAGGCTCATGCTATTCACACAGTTTTATCCTAGTCATCTGATTGATGCCTCTCACCTTGGAAATGTATGTTCAACCTGGCCAAATCAGTTGCAATGGTGTCTTCAAACAGTTTGACAATGGGTAGTCCTCTAGTGTGCTTAGATCACAGCCTATCAGGCTGACCAATATTGTCTCATTGTACTCCCCAATCTGTCTGTTCATATTCATCTGTTGTCTCTTGGTTTTTTTATGTAGCTGATAAATTCTTTGGGACTGAGGCTGTCTTTTGCTCTATGTCTGTACAGTGTGCAGCACAATGGAGTTCCGGTCCATGACTAGGGCTCCTAGTTCTATGATAATACAAATAAATATTAATAACAGTAAGTTGCATCAGGGCCAGAACTTATCCCCGGAATCAAGGAGCTGAATCAAACTGTCTGGTTACACTCCCCACAACCCCTCTTATGGTAAGAAAAAAAAAGGATAATAGATGCCTAATGTATTTATTGTGAAATGGGTCTGAATTTCTATAAATAGTCTCTCACAGTTGATTGCCAATAAACTATTTTTTACTGACTCTAGGTACCCTAGCTTCTGTATTTTGCATTTTTAAACTAATTTAGTCCCATTTAAAATCACTGTGCTCGACTTACGATGTACGTCTGTCAGAATCTGATATGGATGTCCAACAATAGGATGCTACCCTCAGTTTGTGTAGCAATCCTAACACATGCATTGTTACACAGCACACAAATAACAAGATGGACATGCATCTTTAATTAGAAATACATATTTTTTTTTGTAAACACTTGACACAAAGAGTTTTTTTGTTTTAATTTTCACTTAAGGAAAAAAGAAACATTTTTGGACATATTTGAGCGGATTAATAAATAGTATTTGTATATATGTAACCAAAACAGCAATTTATCAGGTAGAAGTCAGATGGGAATTGGGGAATTGGGAATGGGGAATAAAATGCCAACCTGTATATGCAGTTGTGCTGTACTGATGATGAACTGCTGTTTATTCAGGGACCGCATAGCTTAGCAGCAACAGAAGAACCATCAAAGCATATGACATTGTGTTTAGCTAGAAGACAACAATAAATTATCTCAAATACAAATAACACAAGCATAAAGGAAGAATACAAATGTTTTCTCAGACTTAGCTCATTATTCTTCTGTGTGGTTGTACTGAGAACTCAGAATTAAAGAAAGACAGATCATAGATATTGCATGTGCTTCTTTTATTTACACTGAAAAAGATGCATCTGGGTTACGCTGAAAAATCTTAAGGTATGATCCATACTATATAGGTAGGTTGGCGTAAGGCATCTATGTGGGTGCAACTTTCCTGCTTAATACATGCATCACTGACACTAAGGAGAGAAGTGTGGACATGCAAAAGCGATTTAATTATGGTGGTGGTTGTACATTGTTATAAATTAGGTTGACATAATTTTGCAGTATAATTTTGTATGTTTATACATACTTTAAAGCCCATTTACAGTCTCAGAGTGTTTTAGAGTGGCTTAAGTAAATGAGAATTTAGCACAATACTTGGTGTGATTTTCTTCTCCTCAATTGTAGGGATAACATATTAATGTATTAAAAATGTGATTCCCCCAAATGGAAGTGACTCCCCATAATTTGTTCCCCACAACTTAAAGTGTTTAGATTTATTAGGATTCTTCTTCTTATTATTATTATTTGTTAAGATTGTTAAATGTTTAGATTTATGATTATTATTGCCCCTTTAGAATATAATATATTAGGTCATGTAACTTAGAACTGTTAAAAATATAATCCTAACTGTTAAGAATATAATCCTATGTAGCCAGAAACAGCCCCCCCCC